AGGTCACAAAGTCTGCCGCGGACAATTCCGGGGCAGCAGCAACCTCAGATAAATATGCAACAACTGTCCGAAGGCTCTCGTCCAACCGACAGGGCGGCAACTTTGCCTACGCAACATCCAGGGCAGCAGCAACCTCGGAGCTCAATGTTGCCAGTGCTGCGAGGCCCTCACACACCCCGCCCAACACCAGTCAAACCCCCGCGCAAGTCGAAGCAAGGCCCTCAGGCAGGTCCCTCCCAAGCTGTTTCTCCACCGCAGGAGCCACAAACACACCCAGCGGCTGCCCCTACAGGCATCCAAACGCCTTCAGCTGGTGACACTTCATCTTTACCTGCACCACTCCCGGCAACGAGCGATGGACATCCTGCTGGTGAGACTCAACCGGTAAAAACAGCCAAGGAAGACGCTTCTGGTGAAGGCTCCGGCTCCCCATTGCCTAGCCCTTCAGGTGTGGATACGGAGAAATTGAAGCCAGGCAAACCGCCTAGTGGTGGTGATCCAACAGGCCCACCTGGCCCCAGTAAGGCGGAAGATGCCTCTGACCGCCCAGAGGACGGTGCTGCATCGGGAGGAGACGGCGCCCCGTCAGAGCGAAAAGAACCCCCGCCCTCACCACCAGGAGATGGCCAACAGCCACCAGGGGACTCGCCTCCGCCTCCACCACCTGGAGGCAAGCCTACGCCACCTGGCGAGGACCCTCCCCCACCAGAACAGCCTCCAAAAAAGGACGAACAGGCCGCCACGCAAGATACGGAGTTAGAGAAAAAGCTGAAAGACTTGGCCACAAGAATGACGACTTTTTCAGCGTCTGCCGCGCCCGTAGCCTCTGCAGCAGCGGAGGACCGCTTCACCCATCCCATGGCAGAGGATATGCTTAAGGAGGGTTTACAACTTTTCCAAGAAGCCGAACAATTGACTTCGACCCACCCAAGTTCTTCTCCCCTCCTGATGAAGGTTGTTGAGCAGAAAGAACAGTGTCGACAGCTGTGTTCCAGCCTCCACACAAGTGTCTCGAAAACGTGGGAAGCTAACCTTCGCGCGAAAAAGCATACCTTAGAATCAGCGACACGCAACGCGGAAAAGCTACGGCAAAGCCCTCGCGGAAGGTTCCCAAGTGCTCATCATATGGGCTTGTTAGATCAGCTATGTTCACTTGTAGAAGAGGCAGAGAGACTGGTTAAAGATTTAACTCCTTTGAATTCCCATCCTGTGAGATCTGGTGCCGTTGCAGCTCTTATTCAAGAAGTCGATATATCGGCTTCTGTAGGGCATACGGTGGTAACAGCGGGAGTACGGTTTTGTGCGTCAGAGTGCATTGCAGCCCTTGAGGAAGGAACGGGAGGCGCCGATTTGTTACAGCAAGCAATCAGTGCTCACAGCCAGTTGAGTACGCTAAGGGGTGATGCACCAGAGGTCAGTGACCTAGAAAAAGCGATTACGTCGAAAGGTGGTACGATCAGCAAGTCGTAAGTTTCACTGAGTCGGAATACTGTACGGCGGGACCGTATATGGCGATCTCAATGTCTTATTAGGAGCGTAAAGGCGGAAGTTAAATCCTAGGCTATGGCACCTGGTCGGTGATCGTGTGTGTACAACAGAGCCAACCGGTGCAGCTCTTTCCGCTTAGTGCGGATGGCACGGATTGTGCTCTAGTGTGTTTTTTATTCTGTTTGTGATATCAACTTATGGCTTCGAACTATCTAGAGGAGCTCATGCTTTGTCACATGTGAGCACTCATCTCTTCATGCGGTGACTCCTCAAATAAAGGCACTCCACAGTGTGCCGTTTTGTGGCAATGCTCTTCACTTCTGTGACAGTTGGTGCATGCCAGCAATTGGAAGCGCACCACCAAAATTAGCTGCATGAAAGGTATCACTGATGCCTTTCGTGAGGAAAAGGTTGACAAGAATTTAATGCTGTGAGTCCAAAGAAGCTATTCTCACGCATTGTTTCATTCCAAGCGTGCGAGGAGCTTGTGCATCCCTGTGAAGCCCTCTCCGGAATCGGGAGCGTATTATGTTCATCTCCTTGCATACAAAATATGCATTTTCACCCCATATGATATTTTTAAATGTATCAAAATATACATAGACATGAGTTTTATATTGTTGTTTTCAAATGAAAGACACATTTAAACTTCAAATAATATTTAACAGTTAACGCGACGGCGGAAGCCTCACGTTTTGCTCCGTTTTAGTTGCTCGAAGCGCGTGGAGAGTTCCATCGACACAAAAGCTTTGGCTTCACACGAGGGAGCTAGGGTAGTTGCATCTTCTGATGCTGCGTAGCTATCCATTTGCAGAGATTCGATGCACAAACACGAGGTGAGCCATCAATTAGTCCCTCAAGAACGTAAATGTAGTAGGCGAGGCTCGTATATCACGAGAAGGCCATATCAAAATGTATTTTTGCAGCTTCATTAATTCCGTAGTCTATCTACTGCATCTGATCCGGGGTTGTAAAGTTTGCTCCTGCCTAGCTGCAGGTGAAGATGCCGTCAATAAATAAGGCAGCTGGCAGGGCACAACTGCACTGCGGAGCTGGGGCAATAAGACGACTTCATATTCGTGACTGCACAACGCGATGGCGAAAAAGAATCTCTCGTGGAGATGGAATGATTGTAAACAAATTTGATGGGCACTCCATCTCACTATGAGTCACTCCTTATGGAACATGCTACCAGAAAAGCAAATTTTCTTTAGCTACGTAACGCTCTCGTGCGGTCGCCGAAGTTCCCGGTTATTCGGCAAGAGCCCGTTCGAGCGCATGCTGACCGACGGAGCCATCCGTAACACTAGNGAAGTTCCCGGTTATTCGGCAAGAGCCCGTTCGAGCGCATGCTGACCGACGGAGCCATCCGTAACACTAGCTCGAACGCTGTACAACGGGTCGACATCCGTCAGGAGGAGAGGTGGCTATATTCAGTGGTTACCCATAAGTTTCAGCAGTCAAATATACTGGGTGTAGACTCTTTCTGCACAAGGAAGAAAACCAGCCATTCCGACGGCTTTCACTGTGTGTAGGGGTGCAAATAGTGCGCCGCTGTATTGTCTATACGTCCCGTTCGACCGTTCTGAGCGGTTGGCTGCCCTGGTGGCACTGATCAAACTAACGCCGCTGGTAGCCTCCTGCCCGAGTCGTAGATCCTGGTCAACCTCCACCATTTGACTGGGGAACTGGCTGAATCTTCGATTGAAATTTAACGGAAAACGTCCTTGGATTCTCCCCGCTTTGCGGGGGCAAAGTGCATTCGCAATGAATGAGTGCAGCACAACAGGCCGTCCGGATGGGGAAGTAGAAGCTCGCAAGTCGCGCATGCCGAGATGTAGTATGCGGTGCCATCATCAGTCTTAGGTAAGGACCGCTGTGACCGGCAGTAGAGTAGAACGAGTTAAGATACGCGTTACCACACAACAGAAGGCGTCCCCAGGTGTCCTCGGAGTGGGGAAAGAGGGACTGAGGCTACTCCGGACTCGTCCTGTCATGAGCAGCAGACCTTGCTGCAACTCTTCTTGCAGGAGAACCCTCCTTGCTGGCATACCACAGCCCGCTTTTTGTGCAAAGACCAGCTTTGTAGGTGTCTGTTAGCCACTGACTTGGCCGTCAATGGCCAACACGCACGCAAGTACAGGCACACATGCTAAATTCAAACAGAGCATGAAAGACCTACTGGGAACAGGAGATTTCGTTTGCGGGGAATGAATGTTTCGTCTCCATCATCCCGACGGCAACTGGATCGCCTCAGGGCCTTCGAACTTCCTGGTGTCGATGCATTACCACCCGTCAATTAGCATAAGAGCCTAGAAAAGCGCTCTTCCTATGACTTCAATGTGCAGCGTTCATTGCTGGGTACCACTGCATACACTTGAATTCATCTCCAGCAACGCTGTGATGTGAAATGTAGACTGGAGGCTGGATGATGATTGATCATAGAATACCTTTTGTCGGGCGAAAAAGACCGTGTAACTCGAATGTAACCCTAAACCCTAAACTCTAAATCTCAAACACTAAACCCTAAACCCTAAATATCAAACCCTAAACCCTAAGCCCTAAATCTCAAACCCTAAACCCTAAACATTCTCAATCACCGGTGGCGTAGGTGAGGTTCAGCTGCATCGAGAAGGCGCAGGAGGATTTGTTGCAATTGTGTCGTTGCANTATATAAATGAATGTTTCTGCAGAATGGAGCAGACAGCCTGCAAGGAAACCCGCGGTGCGTCGACTTCTCGTGAACAGGTGCTGCGCCCACCTCCAATGGTCTGTGTGTAGCCGCGCGCGAGGTGAGGAGGCATGAGCATAGAGTATGCTTTGTGTGGTTGTATGCACACATTTGGTTTATCGTATTCTTTTCTTTTTTCAGATGAATTTGCAAGAAGAAGTAATCTCCTTTGGGTGGTGTGGGCGTGAAGAAACCAACAGAAACCAGCGAAAGCGCGGGAGGGGAAGATAATTGAATCGAGGACCGGGAGCTGACTGCTTGGTGTTCTCTGTGTTTTATGGGGATATTGTGCCATATAAACAGGAAATAAATAGTATATAATTGTTCCATTTCTTTGTAAGAACACTTAAGGGACTTATTCTAGACTGAGACGAGGCTTCACTTCCATATGCTAGGGTTCATGTTGGCTCGTCGTGTTCCGCTTCCTCCGTGCTTTGTCTGGTTGACGTCGCCGAGGTGTCTGTACACCTCACATTAAGCTGCAGCTTTTTGTGCAGTTTTTTCGCTTGGGTCTCTACTGTTAGGGGACCAGACTACCGAATTTGAGTCTGTTTTTTGAATTGGCCTCCACAGTTACCATCACGCCTTTCTGCGACGCGCCTGTTGCCTGCTCCCTGGCTGCTGGCCGCGGCCAGACGTGTATTAGTGTGTGCACTCCAGGTATTTTGTTCATTATGTTGACAGCCGTGTGAGACGGA